GTAGAAAAGGTTAACCATCATGAGAGCATGGGCATGGCAAAGAGTATGGATCCCCTCTACATCATGGAAAGAATCATGAGGCCAAACCAGTACAAGAGAGTACTGAAAAACAGGTTTCTCTTCCAGGTCCAAGAATGGTAGCCTGGTAATGATGATTTAGCGCATGACTCAGCATCACTCCACAAAGACTGCAGTGTTACTGCATTCCAAGATAAAAAAATCAAGCCTGTTTTGCTGTGGCCGAGGAATTCATCTGAAATAAACTACATTGATTATCTATTGGAATTCACAAAATTGGAAATGACCTACGAAGCAGCAATTAATAGAAATTTATTTTTAAGATAGTGGCATCACAACCCCAATCTCTGGCATAACACAAGTCTGCATAGAAAGCATTTTTTGACACTTTAAAGTAGTTTTCATAACAAAGGGTAATATCTAATATATATTTACCCAGGTCACTGATAGTGTAACACTGACATAACACTTACGTATTAATCATGCAGAAGTTATTTTATTTTAAAGCGAGTTAATTACTTTTAAAATATCATGCGTCAAAACAAATTTATTTTATTAAAACTTTATTAACTTATTGAGTTACAATATTGTGCAGTGCAGTGGTTAATCAAATCCTTTGCAGTCCATTTTTATTTTTTTTCTCAATTTTTATTAATTAACTAATTGTTGCTAATATATTAATAATAAATATTAATATAATAAAAGACATGGCAGTTAATAAATAGTTAAGTAATTAAGTTAATAAATAATTTTAATGTACGTAACGCTTTTAAAGAAAAGCGTTACGTTACATTAAAGTGAAAATTCAATCAGAGGTCTAACAAAATTGAATATAATTGCTTGACAAGATGATGATCTAAATGGATAAAAGTGTTTTTTTCCCATCATTGCATTCGTGTGATGTATCAAAATCTACACTTAGATCACGTTCATTTGTCTAATTGTTAATTTCTAATCTTTCTGAATTTTTTTTAAGAAAATTTCGTTAATAAAAAATATCCAAACTAATAAGTAATAATAGAAAATACCTCCTATAAGAAATATCCAATTTAATAAATAATTATAGAAAATACAAATTATAAAAAAATACATTTGAACCAAACATGCAAAACTGAATTCAAATTAAAAAGTATCAAATAATTTTGGCCTGAAAAAACTTCATTCATACATAGTAAATATATGAGTATATATAGAGATGTGATGCGTTTTTTTGGTTCTTGTTTTTTTGTTTTTTTTAGTCAATTTTTTTGGAAAAAAAAAAAATAATAAAATTTAATGTACTTCCGCATTAATTTAATTGCTTTGACATTTTGATGACAATAAAATGCAGCTTAAGAGACAAGGTAAAAAAATTGTAGTCAAAAGAGACTTTTTTTACCATAAAAGTCTCTTTCAACTACACTATAAGGATATTTCACTATAAAAGTCTCTTTCAACTACACTATAAGGATATATCCCTACTCACCCACTTCAAAAAAAAATTAAAATTAAAAGACGATTTATTGATCACAAAATTTATTGATCGCAAAATTTAATATGTAAATTACAATTTGTCATGAATACTGCACAAACTTTAGTTCAAATTCACTTTTCTAGCTTTTTTTTACACTAATGATGATGCAAATTTGATGCAAATTCACTAATTTGTCATCAAAATCAAGGTTGTTGACCACTTTATATTCAATTGAAACTAAAGCCAGACTAGACAAACGTTTTTGGTCCATAGTTGATCTCATGTAGTTTTTCATAAGCTTAAATTTACTGAAACTTTTTTCACGCGTAGCAACTGTGACTGGTATGGTAAAGAAGATACGAACAGCAATTGCCGTGTTAGGATAAGCATCAGTCAATGAATATTTATAAATGAGCTGCAAAATGTCAATTGGGCTAGATTTTTTGAAATTGTCGATCATTGCAGCAGCTTGATATTTAAAACTTGCCATTTCTGACTGAAAATCAGAAGAATCTAAATCTGTTGTGTAAATCTGAGATAAGTTTTTGGCTTTTGTCTTAAGTTCATCCACTAAACCTTTAGATAGTGAACGCCCACAGAGGAAGTCAAAATTGGAGGATACAGCAGACATAGACTCAAACCCCCATTCAATTTGTGTAATAATGCTGCCAAACACAAGATTGCACTGTGATTCGAATTCTGTTTCTGCTGTGAGGAGGTGAAAGTCATCTTTAGCTTCATAAAGTGCCATCCTTACAGATTTTTTAAAATTGACAACTTACAGATTTTTAAAAAATTTACAACTTTTGATGTCACAAGCAACTGATATTGTTAAAGAGATACTCTAAATGCTGCAACAGATAAATTCTCATTTATCTGTTGCAGCATTTAGAGATATACAAAAAAAGTCAGCTGGTGTAGTAACATGCATTTCATTGAAACTATCAGTACAAACTAGCTAATACAATTAAAAGCATATATATATATATATATATATATATATATATATATATATATACTGCACATTACAAAAAAAATTGAATTATTTAACTAATTTTATTAGACATTCATAAAAAAAGATTTCATTTAGTAAATTACTTTAATCAAAATTTATTTAAGTTATTGTAACTTTTTTGTGTTTTATTTAAAGGTGGGGATCAACTGTAGCATGCTTAGAGAGCATACAGAAAAATAAGCAACCATTAAAAGCATTGGCTATTTCTGAAAACAGTGGGCTTTATTCAGCAACAAAAAACATTCTTCTATCAGATATTTTTTGGGACAGGGTTGAAGGTTTTTTCAAATTGCTGTCACTAACAGCTGATGCAATAAAGAAAACTGAATCAAATACTCCCATGCTATCTATTGTTGTGGAAACTTTTCACTTCTTGGAAGATCACATTTTTAAAAACTTAACAGTTAGCCCATTCTCAAAAAAGGAAGAAGAATAAGCCAAAAAGATCTTCAAGAAAAGAAAAGAATTTTAACAGAAATTCACTTGGCAGCCAATATACTAGATCCCAAATTTCAAGGCAGAGTCTTGACTGGAGAACAAAAGGTATTTCCTACACCTTATTCATATATGATTCTTAAAACCAAATACATTTTAAACCTTATGCATTAAAAGTAAAATTTTTGAAAAATTTTGAATTATTTTAAATACTATTTTCAAGTTTGAAAATACTACTTAAAATAATAAAGTAATTATAAAATTATTAAAAGAAAAATCTTTTATAGATTGATACATGTGAGGTGATACACAACATTGCTGCAAGTATGCCTGAAGTAAACAAAGAAATTATGATGTTTGACTTGGCTAATTACTAATCAAAGGGTGGCATATTTTTAAAACCCTTTATTTGGGCTGCAGTTTCTTTAAGGGTTGTGTTCCTTTACTAAACTATCAAAAGTTGCATCTAGAATTTTTCAGCCACCAGCTTCAAGTGCAGCATGTGAGAGAAGTTTAAGCACTTATTCTAACATTCATAGTGCGAAAAGAAATCATTTAATGACAAATTAATAACTCAAGTGTAAATAAAGTTTCAAGCACTTCAATGCCTTGGTCAGAGTCTGAAGCAGTTAATATAGAAAGTGACAGTGACTTTGTTTATGAATCATTAGATGAAGGTAGTCTAGGGCAGGAAGACTCGGACTCAGAAAGCACATCCATTTAGAATATCTTTTATAGTTTAAATACATGTTTAAATTACTAAATTATTGGCTTTTTTGCTTTAATATTTATACCTTTTTTTAATTGTGTATATTCTACACTACACAGTGCTACACTACTTAGCACTGAATTAATAACCAATTAAAACTAATAAAATATTATTATTCAAAAATATATTAGAATTTTTATAAGGGCTTACTGGCAATATAATTTAACATATGTAACAAACAATGTAAGTTTTTTATTAAAACATTAATTTTAAATTGTTGTTTATACATTGTATTTGTGGTTATAATGATCATATAATATAAATAAACAGAATAAAACAAAAACTCTTCCAAATTATTTACCAAGAAAAATAAAAGTTTAAAAAGTCAAAAAGACCAAAAAAACACCAAAAAAATACGCCTTTTTGACCCAAAAAAACGCAAGAGGAAAAAAAACGCATTTTTTTGCAAAACCTAAGCATATATGACTCATTTTATATATTAAATATATAAGCATATATGACTCATTAACTATTAAAAGAAAGAAGATTGCAGTTAATAAAATTAACAACACTAGAAGAGCATCGTTTACAAGTAGATTTTTCAATATAAAATACAAAAAAGTTATGAGGAGATAAATTGGATAAACGACTCAATATGTAAAGCTCAATTAAAACATTACAATTTTCATGGTCATAACCAAAAGTTAACAAAGGTATACTGTAAGAGTAATGCTAGATTTAATTTCTTATCATGTAGAGTTGTAGAAGCTTAGAATGGTTTACTGCCATATATTATAGAATCAATAACAACTGATCAAATCAAAAATAAACTTGATAAATAAAACTATTGCAAAAGTTATTTACTAAATAACACTAAATAAAGATTATATACATTAAAAAGTAAATAACTCTATTATAAAAACATTTATAGCTGCTATAGATGTTGTGCATATATATATATATATGCACAACATCTTCTGTTATTGTGCTCTTCAAATGATTTCATCAATTGTCACAGTGTATATTATTATATTATGATGTTATTACTTAATTTGTTATGTTAACACTTTTATAAAAAATTAATAGCATTAAATTAATAGATTAAGTAATTATTTTATTTTATATTATAAATAAAGCGCTCTAACCATAAAAAATAACTATAAATTATATGACTATTTTGTTAAACTCATTTAAATTTGAAAATTACAGAACAATTGTACTGTTCCTAATAACTTACCTACTGTATTTATAGTTTATATTTTGTTAAGTATAGAATATATCTGAAGTATTTTGTTAAATATTCAAGTCTAGATAATATATTTGTAGTGTTTTGTTAAATATTTTTAGTTATAGCAAAATAAGCACTAAACCTTTTAATTCCAGTTGAATTGCATCCAAAAAGAATCATTGATTTCACTGCCAACCAATTTTTTAATATGTATAAGAGTGTTGTTTTTGCAAACTTAGGTGGTTCTAAGTCATGATATGGTAATGGTTTCTGAGAATGAACTTTGCGCACTCCGGATGATTTTGATGTATCAGAGGAGGAGTTCCGCTTTTGAACATACTGTGTCTGTTCAGTGTTTTGGCGAGCAACAGTATGTACAAGAAACAACAAAATATGTTGACCTCTAAAAAAATATACATAAATAAAAAAATTTTATTATAACCACTAAAACATTATTTATAAATCAAAACAGATTAAATTTACCTATTATTTGGTAAAGTGCATAAATCAGTTTCATCAACAAGTTTATGTAAAAGTTGATTTCTTGCAGATTGATCACCTGAAATAAGTGATTTACATGGACATTTTTCCCAGCAATCACAGTATGCAGTTGGAGATGTTCTTTTTAACCTAATTTGCAATATTACTAATATTGTAAATAAATAAATATATATATATGTGTGATGTGGTGTGTGTGTGTGTTTTTAAAATGTTTTTCTGTGAACGTAATGTTGTTTAATTTATCTGAAAAGTTAGTCATGTGACTTATGCTTTTATTATCATGGTTTAGCTATAAATAACTTGGTGTGCTCTGCTAGTATAGGGTATGCCAAGCAAATATATATATATATATATATATATATATATATATATATATATATATATATATATATATATATATATGTGTATATATATATATATATATATATATATGTGTGTGTATATATATATATATATATATATATATATATATATATATATATATATATATATATATATATATATATATATATATATATATATATATATATATATATATATATATATATATATATATATATATATATATATATATATATATGTATATATATATAAGCAAGTCGGGCATGATATTGCCACAAAAACAACTGGATACATATTTTCTAGTGTGCTCTGCTAGTATAGGGTATGCCAAGCAAAATAACAATAAAATTAATCTAAAAAGTTTCTATTTCTTAAAAATTTATTCAGTTGTTTAATTTTTATTTAAAAATTTAGCACGTAATTAAATTAGTGCTAAATTTTTAAATAAAAGTTAAACAACTGAATAAATTTTTAAGAAATAGAAACTTTTTAGATTAATTTTATTGTTATTTTGCTTGGCATACCCTATACTAGCAGAGCACACTAGAAAATATGTACCCAGTTAGAACCCAATTGTTTTTGTGGCAATATCATGCCCAACTTGCTTCTTCATTACTAACGTAGACTGCTGCATAGCTATAAGGCTGAGTACAAGGCTTGTTGATTAAACATTGTGCTTTGCAGTTGTAAGGTTGAGAGAAGAAAATTTACAAACCTCGTCAACTGTAGAATCTCCCATTATCAATTTTTTTAACTAATTTAGTTTTAAAAAATTGATAATGGGAGATTATCAAAGTAATTCATTTTAACTAATTTAGTTCAGGTCAGGTTCAGGATCGTGACAACCAACCTGCTAATGTTAACATTTAATTCGGTAAAACTTGCCCAATGTATTGCTGCCTTGTAGGATTCAATTACCTAAAAGTAATAGGCATAAAAAAAACATCACCATCCTCTAACTGTTTTACTCTATCTTTAACAAACATTTGTGGTCCTTGAAGTAACTTTTCATCAATTAAATCTTAAAAAAGCTTGCGAAATTCACTAGACTTGTTTGCTCTTTTTGAGACTAATTTGAGACATAGACTTACGCATCAATTCGCATATCTGCCAAAATGAGGTTTAAATTCTCTTACGAATCTTTAATGTACTAATGTTTAGCACCTCTTTTAGATGTTTAGGCTGATCAAATTGACTAAGGGTTTTTTTTTATCCAAATGCCAATATTTTTATTATTGGTGACTTTAATGCTTATCAAACTGAATGGCTTGGCTCTAGAATGACTAATCCTACTGGTACGAAAGCTAATAACTTCTGCATTTCCTTGTGACTGATAACTCAAATAATTCACTTTCCAAATAACTTTTATCACTTACCTTCGATACTTGATTTGTGTCTTGTGACATTTCCTTGTGTTTAGTTTCTCCTTCTTCTCCTTTAGGTGGTTTGAATCATGCAATAATCTTTATAAATCTTGATAATGCTGATAAATGCATAACTAATTATATTAATTATTAATTTATCTCCTACATAATTTCCTGGATACAAATAAATATGGAAACTTTTATTCCTACTCATCGGTTTCTAGTCTCATTCAACCCCGAGGTTTCCATGGTTTTCACCTTATTGTGCAGCAATTTATTATTTATTTTTATTAATTTTTATCACCTTATTTCTAATTGTAATCATTTTTATCAAAAACAACTCTCTTGAGAACAAAAAGTTTTTTTACTATTTTAAGTATTTCTTTATTGTAAGTAATGTATTATTGTAAGTTTTCATTGTGCTGTCTGATGCTCTAGTATTCTAAGTTTACTAAATCTCGAATCTTACCTCAGATATTAGGTTGTAGGAACATTTAGAAAATTTGTCATTTTGATAATGACATTTATCAGACCTTCAATAATGTCATTATCAAAGGTCTAACAGATGGAATGAAATCTAATACATGGGTCTGATTTTATTACCTCTACCAAGGTTAAAGCAGAACTATCGAAACATCCTTGAAGACCAACAGTTTTCTTTATTTCCAGTAACATCTGAGTACTGCAAAGTCCTATCAATGGTCCTGAATTATGTCTTATCTACATTAATGATTTTCCAGACAATCTTACATCTAAAGTGGTAATCTAAATTGGTCCATTAAAATACTGTTATTATTAATAAAATATTATTAGCTCTATTTTAAGGATAGGTAAATAATAATACTATGTTGCTTGTAAATTATAAGTTTTTAGAAGATTTAAGATTGCGTTAAAACAAAGTCCTGAATCCTCTTAAAACTTATATTTTACAAGCAACATAGTATTATTATTTAGGATTGTGTTTTAACACAATCCTAAATCTTCTTTTTGAGTTGCTGAAATTCATTCCATGAATTTCAGCAACTCAAAAAGTAAGGTTATTCCATAGTTAAAAGTTAGGTTATGTTGAACCATTAAACAGACCTTATGTTTACATTGTATTCATCTCAAAACCAATCTGATATCCTGTTCTTTCAAACTTTTTTTTTTAAAATAAAGAATTCCAACTTGTTGTAAAAAGTATAAATTAGCACAACCATAGGCAGTAATTACCACCCCCCTCCCCCAATCAAAATTGCTGGACATTGCTTATCAGAAGGTGAAATGTATAGGGAAATAAAGCATGACATGGCCTGTAAATATTGACTTTGTGGGCTGCAAACTGCTTAACTTTTGCTATGCTGTGTCATATGAAAATATTACATGCCACCACATTCTAACAGTCCAACCCAAAAGAACTTTTTTCAGTTTCATGGTGTATCAAGTTGTTAGTTTTTGCACAGCAGCCTTGTTTGTCAAGGTTGAAGGTTTGAAATCAAAAACAAAAAATAAAACAAAAAAAATTAGCCTCCTCGACTGTAGTGTAGATCTCTTCTGCCATAGGGAAGTGAATGAAAATTAAAAAACACAATAATAAATTTTAAAATCAAGTGAAAGTTTTTCTGAAATAATATGATAAAAAAAAAAAGTGAAAAAAAGATCAGATATAAAATCTGATATAAATTATTAAAACAATTGCATAAATTAACAAATGTATTTGCAAACAATTGCATAAATTAACAAAATTTTATAAAAATTTACTCATAATATAACCAATTACATACTTGCATTCATGCCCAACATGACACACCTGAGCACATTCTGTACAACAACAAAGTGGACCAACAAGACCACATGTTTTACACTCAAATATATCTTGATTTATATGCTTCGTGCCAGTCCAGGTAAAAGAACATGTATCATTGCAGCATAACACTAGTAATGGTGAAATATCAGGATCAGTACCAGGAGGGCATATCATTGCCATAAACTTATCTTTGTTTTTTGGACCATTTTCCCTAGAGATATCAACTGCAGCATTATATAACTTAAGAGCTGCTGTATATGCCCGAATCTTAACAGCATACATAAATGGTGTGCAACCAAATGCATCTCTAAAATAAAAATTATTCAATCATAAATTATCATAAATTATCATAAGTTCTGATAAATTTAAAAGCATATTATTCTAGCTTTAAAAAAAAGAGTTTAAAAAAAAAAAAAATTTCAATCTTTTTTTTTAATAAATATAATATAAATATATAAACTATAAATACTGAATATTTTTACTTAGATAATACTTAGATAAATTTTTTAGATTTATAAATAAATTTTAATATTTACTTTTTATTTTAATTTATACATTTTTTATTTATTACTTAGTTTTTTAATTAACACCTTTTACTGTGTTTTAACTTGAAAAAATGATTTAAAAAAAATACTTATTTTAACTAATACCTTGCAAAAAATGTAAAAAAAAACTTATTTAAAATATTTCAGTTAAATTTCATAAACACATTTTACAAAATTTAAGCAAAAAATTAAAAAAAAAAAAAGGTTTTAGTAAAAGTAAAAAACTAAAACAGAATGTAAACTTTTGAACTAAAAAAATGAAACTAAACAAAAATTTCACCTTTCAGATAAAAGTTGAAACAAATGTTGCGATAAAAAAGAATGGCTCAACAATATATCAAGACAAGAGTCTCCGTCAAACAATGGAACCCACATACTACTGTCAAATATATCCGTCTTTGAGTTGTCTAAAATAAATTTTTCTATATAACTCACATTTTTTTTATTTCATACATGATTTGATACTTTCATATCCAGTAGAAAAATCTACTAAGGTTGTTTTGATAGATTTACCATAAAATTATTTTAAAATATAATTTCAAAAAAGCATAAAATAAAAAAATTATTGATTTCAAGAAAATTACCAATTAAAAATACAAAATTAAATCATATTATTTATAACAAAATATACATATCTATACTAAAATATGAAGTATAATACAATATAACAATATATAATCTTTTAAAATCATTTTCTTGTTATACAAATATTTCTGTTTAATGAGTTTGATTAAAAAGGTAGCAATATATAATATAAAAAGGCAACAATATATAATGCTTTACAATAATATATAATATGAAGTTATAAAAATGTAAGTAAACTTCATCACTTTTAAAAAAAATAACAAAAAAAAAAACTTTTAAAAATATAAATATAGTGCTTTTTCTTATTTTTACACACATCAAATTGCCCATGCATGAATTAAGCAATTTAGAAACAGACATAGTGAGTATACAAAAATCTAATTTTATAATACACTTGGCTCATCCAAGTGTACATACATACGATTTTTTAGGAATAGGAGTAACAAGTGTATAAACAACACAATACAACTAATAAAGATTTTGGTTAGTTTATTATTAGTTATGAACCTGGTGAATTAAAAAAATAAAGCATAAGATCAAAAAAATGAGAAAAGAAAATCTTTTCAAAAATAATTTAAACAACTGTTTTTTACAAACTTCTTTAATTTTTATTTAAAGTTAAGAAATTTAAGAGTACAAAAATACTTTTAGTTAAAAAATGTTTATTTCTGAAAAATAATTGTACATTACTGGTGATGGTGCCCATTAATTTCAGCACAACTGTTATTTTCATTTTCTTGTCTATGGTTTACCATGCCTTCAGCAATTCTTGTACTGAACTAATAGTCTGGCCTGTTTTATGCAAATATCATTTGCCAATACCCCAATATTTTTCAATGGGCCGGAATTGCGGGCAATTTGGTGGATTGAGTTTTTTTGGCACAAAATTAACCTTTCTCAATTTATACCACCTCAAAGTGTTTTTAGTGTAATGGCACAACTCTAAGTCAGGTCAAAACAAACAAGATTTAGCGTTCAATCAAATGAGTGGCAAAAGTCGCACAACTACAAATTGCTTTCGATAAGAGCAACTTTTTGCCATATTTGTCCATAGGTTTGTATTTATAGTTGGGGCTTACACTGTAATTAATTCATAAATAAAATGTCTTCCTGATAGTAAAGCTTATGATTCATTTTGGTAAAAGTAATATTTTCCCTCATTTTTGGATAATGTAAAGATAGTTTGTTTAAAAGTCTATATAGACCTTTCATCTGGTTAACGCATATATATATATATATATATATATATATATATATATATATATATATATATAATATATATATATATATATATATATGTTACACATATACGCATGCACGCACACACACCAACACACACACACACACACACACATATATATATACACACACACACACACACACACACACACACACACACACACACAAACTTACACACAATCACTTATATACATAAATATCTCATAATAAATGTCATGCTGAAACAGCCATCTTAGAAGACTTCAGTAAATACATTGATTGAAAATTTGGATTTGGGCAGGTACTATCTAGATTTGAAGATTTATTAGATTTGAACTTTTATAATGGTAAAAATAACTTTTTTTCATTATTCTTCATTTTTCTAAAAAACTGTCCGGATTAAAGTCACTATTTTAGAACTTAAGTGTGCAAAATATATTGAGACAGTGCAAATCTGCAAAAATCCATATATTTATACATAAAATATGTATGTATATCAATACACACATATTTATATTTAAATATTAAGCATAAACTATATATTTTGTCCAGGTAATATTAAAAAATAAAGTTAAATAATATAAAATTGCAAAACAATTTTTAAGTTTATAAAAATAAAAAATGCCATTTTCTAATTTAAATATGACAATATGAAAATGTTAAAGCCATTTTTTAAAATTGGTTACACTTCCTGGCGTTAATCTGTTTTTAGATCAGGACTAATTATTTTTATTGTGATCTAACACAGAAAGTGTACAATCAAGGTATACAACCTCATATCCACAATTAAATCAGGGGGAATTTAACATCACTATAGATAAATAGTCTCACCATCCCCAATATAGAATCAACTTAATGTCAAGATCAAATCCAGAATTTTTAAATAAAAAAAATCTTCCTTTGCCAATAAAAAAAACCCATCAAATAACAACTGTTTACCTTCATTTCTTTTATTAGACTTAGGAGAACTTGGCGAATAAGGAGACGAAACATAATATTCTAAAAAAATCCCATAATTTATATATATAAATATATATATTTAATTGCTTTCTCTAATTATTCTAAATCCAACATTTTCTTCATACTTAAAATAAAATGCAACCTTTTTATATCTATATATTTTTAACAATTGCCATTAAATCTATTACTTTTTGTGTAGTTTTTTTTTTTTTAAATAAATACAATAATTGCCTTGGTTACTATTCATACATACCTACATAGACATATATACCTACTTGATTTTATATTTATATTTCATGTGATTTTAAAACCAAAACTCTGTGTAACTTTCTTCTCTACATATTTACTATAAGAAACCCTGTGTAACTTTCTGTTATTTACTATAAGAAACCCTGTGTAACTTTCTTCTATTTACTATAAGAATCCAAAAACAAATCTTTTTTTTTTTTGCTTCAAAATTTTATTTATGTATACATCATTTAAAAAAACAGCTTTGATAAAATTTGAAGATTTTAAAATCTTTAAAAATTAGTTATCCTTTATTTATTAGTTCCCATTATAGTTTATTTGTGACTCACTTTCCAGTCAACCTTAATCACTTACCTTAATTTCTTAATTTCTTTCAGTTTTCTTTCCAGTTAAACAGGGTTACCTTGTTAAATAAATCCAAAATCCAAAGGAATTACAATTAGACAGATTTTTACAATTAAGTGATGTATTTAAATGTTTATATACATGAGATTTATATACAAGACCTCTATCATTTTTACTAATAAATTAATTAATAAGAATATCAAATAATTTTAATTTATTATCTTTTTACAAAACAAAATTATCTCTAGTATTTCAAAAGTTATAAAAGTATTAGTATATGTTCAAAAAATAACAAGAAGCAGCAAACCCACTTGAAACAAACAGTACTTAATAAAAAATCCAATCCCTTTTGAACATCAGTTTGTCATAAAAAAAACTAATACAGGTCTGTCACAGTTTTGGTCAGGAAGGCGTGCAATCCCTCATCTTTATATGACAACACAAATAATGCTTTGTTTTGATGATTTGACTGTGGCTGTTAACATGTTTTGAAAATTTAAACATTAAAGAAATGTGCTGAAAAAAATTACCTAGCTGAAAATTGGCTTAAAAAACTAACCTAGACCAAACTTACCTTGACTAAATGTAAGAATAATAAAAAAAAAAATAACTAGAACCAAAACAAAAAAATAAACATATAAAGAACAAAAATAAACTAAAAACACTAAGATTATTTTAATCAAGTTTTTAACTACATTTGGAATAATAAATTTAAAAATTAGTAAGTTTCCAAACAAAGTAGTGTTTACGTAAACACTACTTTGTCATATAAAGACATGTGATAAAAAATCTTATGTGTACAAACACTTAAATACATCAGTAAATTGTTAAAACCTGTCTAATTGCAATTCATTTAGGACTTTGGATACAGCTTTGACCAAACATAAATAAAAAGTAAAAGCTCCACATTTAATGGAAAAATCCCTCACTTAATCAACTAAACAAACTTTCCATTATACCATTAACCTATCTATTTAATTAAAATAAAAGTTTTTTTTTTTTTGAATATATTGATTGGTTATTTACTGAGTCATTTTGTAATTATTCTATTGGTTTATTATGTATAATATCTATCTGTTAAGTCCTCTAATTTTTTTTATCTATTTCATAGTTCTACCATTAGCCTAGTAACGCAATAGATATATACCATATATATGATACATATTAATATATATCACACTTACTTTGGCAGATTTAAATAAGTACTGCCCTATAATATTTTGCACACCTTAAAATTTAAAATGCTAATTTTAAACAAGAGGATTTTCAAAAAAAGAAAAAGAAAAATTGTACTAGCTAACCCTCAGTTGATTTTTTGTAATGAAGCCTCTAGAGATGGCTATCCCAGTATAATTTTATCTAATTTGCATGGAACATGCAAATTAAATATATAAAATATTTGTGTTTATACATACATATATATATATACATACATACATACATACATACATACATACATACATACATACATACATACATACATACATACATACATACATACATACATACATACATACATACATACATACATACATACATACATACATACATACATACATACATACATACATATACATACATGCATGCATGCATGCATGCATGCATCCATCCATTTATCCATCCATCCATCCATCCATCCATCCATCCATTCATACATACATACATACATACATACATACATACATACATACATACATACATACATACATACATACATACATACATACATACATACATACATACATACATACATACATACATACATACATACATACATACATGCATGCATGATAAAACAATCAAAATTTATGTAACTAAAACTTTTAAAATCAACCAATCATTTTTGCTGCAGTAATTTTAAATGAACCAATCAGTCTTTACTACTGTGGCTTTAAGATGAAAATTTAAAGTAACGGTACCCTTCACTAGACACAACATATTTTTAAATCACTTATTTAAATTAGATAACACTTTTAAATTTGTATAACTTGAACTTTTAAAATTATCATTAAAAATATTATTTGCATTTTTTACGTGCATAAAATTATTATTATGCTCAAAATAAAAATGGCCGCAATTTTTTTAAATTAAACAAAAATTGTTAAACTTTATTAATTTTATTATCTACTATCAAAAAAATGCTTAACAAATCTAAAATTTAAGAAATCAAAGCAAACTTGATTTACAAAATCGAAATTTGAACAAAACCTTTTTCAACTTAATAACTCTGAAGATTATGACAACCACGACCACTTTAAAAAAAACAAGTAGGAACCAAATATGCTCCCATAATGCCACAACAACTTAACGAACTTTTAAAGTTACTTTATATTTTGAAAAACTTGGTAAAGTCATGAACTTGCTTTTATGTTATTATAAAGTTATAAAAAAATGAACCACAACATTTACCTTCATTTTTCTTATTAGGTTTAGGTGATAATGGTTTGCACGTTGAAACACATAAGTGAAAAATATTACGATTACCATCCACTCTCTCGTTGATATGTTTTTCTAATAACAAAAAAAATCAAATTGCAATATTATAATTTTTAAAATTTTACAATCAATTTTAAATTTTTAAAGATATAATTTTTATATGTAAAAAATCATAATAAAAATATAGAATGAAAGTTTCTAATGAATGTTTTAATTTTTTTTCAAAAAAATGAAATATTTAAAATAACTCAAAAAAAAATAATAATAATAATTATTTAACATAATTTTAAAATAAAAAAAATGAAACATTTAATATAAAATGAAAAATGAATCATTTAAAATGAAATAAAAAAATGAAAATTTAGAATGAAATAAAAAAATGAAACATTTAGAATGAAATAAAAAAATGAAACATTTAAAATAAAATTAAAAAAATGAAACATTAAAAATAAAATGAAAAAATGAAAAATGTAAAATAAAGCAAAAAAATAAAACATTTAAAATAAATAAAAAATAAAAAATGAAACATTAAAAATAACTTAAAAATAAAAATACTTGCTAACTCTTCTTTTATTTTATTTTTTACCTTTTTTTTAATTAAAACTAATATACTAATATAATATAAACTACATACACAGACCAACAAAAAAGTATTTGAAAAAACATATTTTATTCTAGACATTCAGTTTTTAAACAAAAGTAGAAAGTAGTATAGAGTATTTTGTCATTAAGATACAATTTTATATTAATGAAAGTTTACTTAATACAAGTTTTTATTAATGAAAGTCAACTTAATACAATTTTTTATTAATAAAAGTCTACCTAATACAATTTTTTATTAATGAAAGTTTACTTAATACAAGTTTTTATTAATGAAAGTCTGCTTAATACAATTTTTTATTAATGAAAGTCCACTTATTTAAGTGGATATAATAACTGTCAGGTTTCAATCTAATTCAACTAGTAAATGTCATCAAAAATTCATACATTAAATACTTGTTAAAACTTATTAATACTTGTTAAAACTATATTTAACTTGATCAGCTTTAATGTTTATATTTTAGATCTCTATGCAAAAACCAGCTAAAGCCCTGCATCTTAACAGTGTTCTTCCTTGACATCTTTGCTCCATATACAAATTTTCCAGGTAAAACCTTTAAATGTGTTTATCACTGTATTTTTCAAACTACCATAGTTATCTGGAAAAAAAAATCAAGTTAAGAATGTGGAAGGAGGAGTTTGATGGGCATTTAATATATCATAACATTGTACTGATAAAGGAGATCATTCACAATCTCGACAACGAGATTGATACAATGAGATTGACACATCATTTAATGAATAGAAAACTGAGAGCTTTAGATGCCAATTTGTATGTAAATCATCAACAGATGCATGCTTGTCAGGTGACAATAATCTCTCTTGTTTCAAAAATGATCAAAGAACCTCAGCATTTTCTTTTGAAAAGTATAAGTATCATACTAGGTCATACTAAGGCCAGATGATATACTGATGAATACAGTAGGTGTCATATCAGTAGATGATATAATACTATAATATCATAACTCAGGGCTGTGGAGTTGGAGTCAGAGTTGAGGAGTTAGCGTCAAAATCATTTAACAAAATTGCGACTCCAACATTAATATTTGCATAATATTTTTTAAGAATTTAAAGAATTTTTCAAAAATTTTGCTTTGGAGTTGGAGTTGCACTCAAAAAATTTTAACAACTGGAGTCGGAGTGGTTACTTTTTTTTTATAACTCCACACCCCTGACTCAAAGAGCCATCAATATATACAATATGATCAAAACAATATATACTATGATTAGCCTTAATACATTTTTTTTTTGAAATACAATATTAATTCTAATACATATATATTATATGTCTTTGCATGCTGTTCAGCTTTTAGTGGCTTTTTATTTAATCAAGATAATCTTTATCTTGTAAAAAAAAGAAAAACAAAACAAAAAACAAAAAAATGTTAAAACAACAACTTTTGTTCTTTTAATCCATTTCAATTGTTATACATATATCTTATTATTATCAACTTTTTTTAGCAAATAGAAATTTATCTTGATATTTGCGCTAAATTTTTTTTTTTTTTTTTCCAATGCCTTCACTTTCTACACGGCTGCAAGCAAACACTATTAGAGTTGGATGTTACTGGAAGAGAAAAGATGAAAAATATAAAGCAAGATAATGATTAACAGTTATCTTAAAAGACTGCAAATTATATGAATCAGATATATGTCATAATTGATAAATAAAAGAATGTTGGCTTGACAACATGATTTAGAGCCTTACCACAAACTGAACATTTAGTCTGATTTTGTTGTGAAATGTTATTTTTTATAAAATTAATATAGTAAAAATGTTTTGAAAAAAAAATTCACCTATTTGGCAATTGCTAAAAAATTGATGAATAGCTTCTGCATCAGATTGAAGAACACTTTGGACTAAATCACTGTCTTTTACTATCATTACAGCAACAATTAAATGTCCTTTGTTCGTATCATTTACCCTTCTTCTACCCATTGCTAGGCATGTTACTGGAGGCATATTTAACAAATCAGGCGTACGAATCCCATTACTGTTATCTTTAATTAGAGGATATAAACATTGGTTTGGATCTTGCAGTAAGGTAAGCGAGTCCTAAAAATTATTCAAAAGATTCACTCAACAACAAAAAAAATTAACAAAGGAATAAAATAAACTTTAAATAGCTAAAAATTATTTAAGTAAATGCCTAACCGAATAAGCAAGTCTTAAATTTAAGTAGATGCCGATTTTGTGAAGTTATTGACAAAAATATAAAATTTATGTTAGAAATATGTTATTTAAATAGTATGAAAATATTTAAAAAAACAATTACTATTCCAGATGAGTTCAAAACAGAACAGTGAGGTTGAGTTTTTGATAAAAATAATGATGGCGCCTGTTGAATATCTCCTCCAGATTCGGCACGTCCTGTTGCCAAACTAAAAGTCACATAGCGTAAACCAGTTTGAGTTTTTAACAAAACACGCACACCTGAAAGACAATAATCAAATTTAATTGTACGTATTTTCATTTTATTATAAATATATTTATTTTATAGAAAAAAAAATTTTTTTTCAAATTATATCCAACCAAATTTTAAGGCTACTAAATTACGTTGTCTACTTAAATATTTTTAATTTTCTTAGTTGTTATAATTTGGTCTCAAAGCTATAACTTCAAAAAACAAACTTTGACAAATATGGTTGTTGCTAAGAAAAAATATTTGAGCAGACAGCAAACAGAGATGAGTTTGAACTCTGTGAGCAACAAAGTGAGCACTCTACTACTACAACATATTTAACTTAATTACATCAATTATGTTGCAGGTTATTAATTAAACAAATTATGCTGCAGGTTATTATTAATAGAAAATGTAAAACTAATATCAAGAAAAAAATATAGGATAAAATTATGTTAAATACCATTCATTATTTGTCGCTTTACCTTTGGTATCTAAAGCTATTGAAAGAGCTTTTGAATTTGGTGGTAATATTAATTGTTTTGGTGTTCGTTGAAAACACTCAGGCATTTTTGGAGGAGTTGTCCATTTTACAATCTAAATGAAATCAATTTCATTTATATTAATTAAATCTAAAAAAATTATTTATATCAAAAGAAAATGATCATCACCATCATTATCACCATCATCATCATCTCATCATCATCATCACATCATCATCATCATCACCATTATCATCATCAACATCATCATCTCATCCTCATCATTGTCATCATCATTATCTTATCCTCATCATTGTCATCATCATCATCATCTCATCCTCATCATCATCTCATTCTCATCCTCATCATCATCATCGTCATCATCATCATTGTCATCATCATCATCTCATCCTCATCCTCATCATCATCATCATCATCATCGTCATTATCATCATCATTGTCATCATCATCATCTTCATCATTGTCATCATCATCATTATCATTATCATCATCTAAGCATCATCTAACCATCATTATCATCATCCTAATTATGACCATCACCATCATCATCATATAGATGCGTGCTAACTCAACTCAAATATTCTGTATAGCAATACGCTTGTTTGATATTAGAACCTTTTTGTTTATTAATGCAATGCTTTTGTTCATTAATGGAACTTTTGTAACTTGAAAAATCTTTGCATTTTAAAGAGTAATTTCATTATTACCTAGTACAAAACTTTTTCATTCATAGTTAATTCATTTTCATTCTTTTAAACAGTAATTTCATTGTTATCTGGCAGAAAATTCATTCATAGTTGGTTCAATGGAGTAAAATTTTTTGGTTTTAAGTTAAAATGTATAATGTGTATAAAAACAATATATATTTTTTTTAAATTGTTCTACCTTACATTGCTTCAAGAGCATGTCTCTGCCATAATAATAGTCTTGTGCAGAAAAGAAAAACTCAAGATATGGTTGTACATAAGTTGTAAACGAAAGTAAAATTAATTGTACATAAGATAGTACACAAATACTGTTAATATCTCAATAGTCGAAAGCTCTATTCAAAAAGTCTCGATTTTGCAAACTCATTTTTTAACTATTTTTAAAATAAAAAACTTTTTTAATACTTCTACGCAATACTTTATTCGTGCAAACTTAAAAAATACTCAAATAAAACAAAATAAGTATATTTAATCATTTGAATAGTATCTGTTTATAATAAACGTTAAAATTTGTTCATCAAAGATTAAGTTCCTTAACTTATAAACAAACACAAAAGTATTTTCATTCTATGTATAACTACAAAACTACTTTTTTTGTTTTGTTTAAATTATTATTTTGTTTTTTTTTTTGTTTTATTTAATAAATTTAATTCATTTATTAAATAAAAAAAGAATAAATATGAAGTAATCTTTGTTAAGAACAAACTTAATTTATTTATTGATCAATATGTTTATATTTATTTATTTACCAACTTAAATAAAATATACCAACATGTTTAAATATTTTAAAATGACTCATGTCATTTAAAATTCGTAGAGCTGCTGCCCATACGGTACCATTGGTTTTGGATAATATTTTATTTTGATGAAGATCACATAACTTACATAATTACACATTTTAATAACTAAGTCTTCTTTTTTTCTGTGATAGTTTCAATTCAAAAAGCATCGGCAAAGTCCCAGGATTTAAAAGTTTTCAAAGTAAATCTTTTGTTCTTCAAAATACAATCCATATTTGAACAATTTAGAGAGAATGGAAATAAACAAGGTTTTTATATACTAGTTTGTCTTATTTTATATAGAAAAATACATAGTCATTAGTAAAGAGTAGAGACTGTCATTAAACTAATTAAACTAAAACGTGTCTAAGTATTTATTTAACGGAGTCTGTAATATGCGCGTGCATAATAAAAACCTCTGTTAATATAATATATTCAATGTAATAAAAGTGTCATCAGCGGATGTTATAGTCTACTTGTGATTTTTTTAACTTAATAAACAAGGCCTGGGTCATGCCAATTGAGTTGGTTGTTGATAGCTACGTCAAAGTCATGCTCAGAGCTAGTCTTGCCAAGTTGTGGTTGTTACCAAGATGGTCAATCATAGTAAAGATTATGTGTAAGCTAGGTAGATCATCAATAAAAACAGTGTTAAGGCAGTTGCAAAAACTCTTGTCAAAGAATATAGCTTCACACTAAAAACTTTTTTTCTTTCTTATTAACAATATGAAAAAAATAATAACTAAATACTGATAATGTTGATGATGATGATGATGATGATGATGATGATGATGATGATGATGATGATGATGATGATGATGATGATGATGATGATGAACATTTAAAAAATTATAATGCAGATACAAACCTGTAATTCATCTTTTCGAACTAGACGGCATTCATCAAGTATTGATCCAATATCACATTTTCCAGTCTCAACTTTTTTAGTAGAAAAATCAACTAATGCATATGCACCATCAACTTTTAATACAGTACCAACTGGTACATTGCGAACTTCTTCAACAAAAATAACATCTTTTAAACACCACTGTTCTTCTTTAACTATAACAGGCAACTGAGCAGAACTGTCTTCACTATTCTCATCAAGCCGTCTGCGCTCTAAAGAAATAAAAATACTCATTTTTAAAAAAAACTAGAAAAAAAATTTTGTTTAGAGAAACTACTTTGTACAGACACATTTATAAAAAAAGGTTGAAAGAATTTTTTTTCCAATCATTTGCAAACTCTTTGTAATTATTTGCACCCATGGCAAGGAATATACTGTTATTTAAACAAAACTATAAAAAGTAAATTTAGTTATATAAGCTAAACTATAGTTATAAAATATAGTTATATAAGCTAACTAACTAAAATATAACTAAAATATAACTAAAGTATAACTCTCTAAAAGTATAACTAACTAAAGTATAAGCTAACTAACTAAAATATAGTTATATAAGCTAAACAAAACTATAAAAAGGAAATATAGTATATAAGCTAAACTATAAAAAAGAGTTACATCCGTATGTAAACAAAACTCAAAAAAAAAAAAAAAATCAAGCGTTTAAAAATTAATATATTACATAAAACAAAATATAATTACATTTGCATATATTGATTATACTGATTAATTTGAGCTGCACTTACCTCTCACCAC